GAGAGACACAGAGAGAGAGAGACAGAGAGAGACAGAGACACAGAGACAGAGGGGGGGGGGAGACAGAGAGAGAGACACAGAGAGAGAGAGACAGAGAGAGACAGAGACACAGAGACACACACACAGAGAGAGAGAGACACACACAGAGAGAGACAGAGAAACAGGATAGATGATAGATAGATAGATACAGAGAGAGAGAGAGAGAGAGAGAGAGAGAGAGAGGATGGCAAAACAACTGATCTGGAGTACAACGAAAGACACTATATCCGTGACGGTGAACCTATGGCATGCGTGCCCGAAGTGGCACGCAGAGTCATGTCACCAGGCATGCGTGGCATTGCCCGTTCCTCTTCCAGGTTTCTGGCACACATGCGCGCACGACAATCAGCTGGCCTTTGTACGAGCTGGTCTTCTGTTTTCCGGCATAAATATGCACACCGGCCAGGGGATCGACATGTGCGCATGCGCAGCAGTAACAGGAAGAGTTGTTAGCTGCTGCGCATGCGCATGGCGGAAACTGGAAGTTCATTTTCTGGAAACTGGAAGTTCATTTCCCCATGGGAGCTCCTCTTTCTGGTCATGGCTCAGATGACTGTGTGCGCGCAAAGTAATTCCTTTTTGCTACTCTATGTTGTCTTCTAAATATAGCAGGTATTGGACTGCTGTGCATGCAGCTGGACCATGATGGACTTGTGAAAATGTGAATCCTGGTCTACAGATAAGCCAACTTTGGGGCCAAGTTTGGAACCTAAGCCTCTCGCTTATCCAGAAGTATATACAATAACTCCGAGAAGTAGACTTCAACTCCTAGAATTCCCCAGCCAGTAGTTCGTCTGGTCTTCTTCCTGCACATGTGTTGAAACGTCCACAGCAGATTTATGCCAACGGATAGAATTAAAATGGAAAAGACTAGAACATGTTTTAACACCAAAATCTTAAAAGTTAAAACCCGACCTCAGGTGTTGATAAAAGAATCTAGAGCAGGGATAAGAAGGAGACGGAAGATGTTGAACCTTGCAAAATTACAATTCCCAGTCTCTTCTCTCTCCTCTCTGGCTTTGCTGGCGATGATGATTAATCAACATCTGTTCATCCACATGTTCTTGAAGAAGAGGCTTAGTGTTGCTAAGAATTCTAGCAGCTAAAGCGCAAGGCATCTTCGAAATGTTACCACTAAGGTACTAACACCACTCTATAAAGCCTAAGTAAGACCACAACTAGAGTACTGCACCCAGTTTTGGTCACTAGACTATAAAAAGATGTGGAGACTCTAGAAAGAGTGCAGAGAAGAGCAACCAGGACAATTAGGGAACTGGAGACTAAAACATATGATGAACAGTTGCAGAAATTGGACATGGCTAGTCTAATGAAGAGAAGGACCAGGGGGGACAATCTTCCAATATTTGAGGGGCTGCCACAGAGAAGAGGGGGTCAAGCTAATTATTGGAGGCAAGATGCTGACTCTGTAAACCGCTTAGAGAGGGCTGTAAAGCACTGTGAAGCGGTATATAAGTGCTCTTGCTATCCTTCAGCAATATCTATAGTATCTATAGCTTCTTTTTCTAGGTATGTCTGGACTAATGAAGAAAAGGACTAGAGGTGACGTTATCTGACTTCCAATATCTGAGGAGGTGCAACAGAAAAGGGGGGGTCAACTTGATGATGAAGATGTTGAGACTCTAGAAAGAGGGCAGGGAAGAGCAACAAAGATGATGAGGGGATTGGAGGCTAAAACATACGATGAACAGTTGCAGGAACTGGGCATGGCTAGTCTAGTGAAGAGAAGGACCAGGGGAGACATGATAGCAGTCTTCCANATAAAATATACCCAGATTTAATACATAACCACATACTGGCATTTCATTTAATATTTCTAAAATCCTCCAATAGCACTGAATCCTTATGTCCTATTTTAGCTAAACATCCATAATATTTAGTAACAAACTTTTCTAATCCTCTTTCCGAGATCACTGTTTGCAATAACCTAAAATACTTTTGTTAGGTATAATACCAGAAATTTACAATAAAGGGAATATATACTGTGTCTAGTATTTGCACAATATTGGAAAAATGAAGATACTTCTACAGATGAAAACATACCATATTTTTTGGAGTTTAAGACACACCTTTCCCCCCCAAAAAAGAGGGTGAAAATCTGGGTGCATCCTATACACAGAATACAGCATTTTTGGCCTTTGGAAACCCTGTCCCCCCGCATCCCAATTTTCGCAAAAAATGCATAGGATTTGGGAGGCCTGCAAAGCACTCCTGGCTGCTGGGGAGGGCAAAAATGACAAAAAATGGCCTTTTTTGTCCATTGTTGCCCCTCCCCCAGCCCCCAGGAGCACTCTACAAGCCTCCCAAATGCCAAATCATATGCATGCCCTGTTATTTTGCCCAAAACAGGCCCGTTATTGCAAAAAAAAGGGCCATTTTTTGCTCGTTTTTGCCCCCCCTCCGGCCCTTAGGCGCACTTTGTAGGCCTCTCAAACTCACTGCATGCCCCGTTTTTCACAAAAAATGAGGCGTGCAGAAGGTTTGGGGGGCCTGCAGAGTGCAAAACCTTTTAAAAAAAATTACTTCTTCAAAGTCTTGATGCGTCTTATATTCCAGTGTGTCTTATAGTCCGAAAAATACAGTAATTAGAAAGCTATTAGACTATGCGGAGATGGATAGACTGATATTAAAAATAAAAGACAAGGAAGAAAGATAATATTTTATAACATGGGACTTATATTACCAGTGGTTTGATTAAAAATGGGTAGAAATTAGAAGATAAAAGATTATTGTT